ACTCACTCTGTAGCCCAGGCTGGCCTCGAACTCACAGAGATCCGCCTGCCTCTGCCTCCTGAGTGCTGGGATTAAAGGTGTGCACCACTGCCGCCCGGCTAGGAAGTCTTCTCTTCTTTCTTTCTCTCTCTCTCTCTCTCTCTCTCTCTCTCTCTCTCTCTCTCTCTCTCTCTTTCTTTTTTTTTTTTTTTCTGACTTTTCAAGACAGAGTTTCTCTGAATATCCCTGGCTGTCCTGGGACTCACTCTGTAGACCAGGCTGGCTTTGAACTCACAGAGAACCACTGCCTCCCGAGTGCTGGGATTAAAGGCATGCATCACCACCCTGGCTCCAGGAAGTTTTTCTAAAACGAAAGAAAGGAATGAAGAGCTGTTAACAGTTGGCTATGGAGTTCTCCCACAAAGGCGCATGTTCTAACTGCCTGTTCCCAGTAGGTGGCAGTATTAGAGATGGGTTCATGAGGGCACCAACCTCCCAAGTAGGCTCATCATAGGAAGCAAAGCCTCCGAGGTACACATTGGTGGCACACATTTGTAATCTTAGCACTTGGCGAGGCTGAGACAGGAGAATCTTGAGTTAAGACCACTCTGGGCTACATAGTGACACAATGTCTCCCTTTCTCTTTCTTTTTGAGGGTTTCTCTGTGTAGCTCTGGCTGTCCTGGAACTCACTCTGTAGTCCAGCCTGGCCTCTAACTCAGAGATCCAACTGCCTCTGCTTCTGGAGTGGGCCACCACTGCCTAGCTGTGACAAAGTGTCCCAAGAAGTAAAAGATATTTAGTAGGCAGTGGGACCCGTTTGGGAGGATTAGGTTACTGGGGACATACTCTCGAAGGGTCTGTCTTGCCCTGGACCCTGCCTGCTTGTGGGTTCCTGGCCACTGTGGTGTGAGCAGCTTGTAGCTCCTTGTGCCCCAGGTCGAATGCAGTGCTGCCACGGACCTGAGACTGAAGCCGCCAAAGGAAAATGTCCCTCCTTTTAAGTTACCCTCTTTGTAGTCAGTCGTGGTGGCACACAGCTTCAGTCCCAGCACTTGGGAGGCAGAGGCAGGCAGATCTCTGTGAGTTCAAAGCCAGCCTGGTCTACAGAGCAATTTCTAGGGCACCCAGAGCTGTACAGAGAAACCCAGCCCTTCCCCCCCCCCCAAAAAAAAAAAAAAAACAAAGAGTACGTCACTCTCTTCAGATATCCGTTGCAGAAACACAAAGTCCAAATAACATAATGAGCAACAGGAGTCCGGGCCGCTGAAGGTCGGGTCTTGGGTGTTACCTCAATGTCCGTCAGGCCATCCAACAGACGTGACTGGGTCTTCTGCGTCCTTTAATGGTCATCTGGCAGGAAAAACGGTCACATAATGTATAGGATCTGATACAAAGCACAGCAGAACACAGGAGTGCTGTGAGCGCATGGTAATACAGAGGTGAAGAGAAGGATCGTCACAGTCCTTTGTCCTGTTCTGAGAGAGCTGCCTACATCTACAGCCTTATTTTTTCAGGGATGGGCATTTATTAGCTGAATGTGTAGTGTTTTTAACCTGAAGTCTCAAGGGGCCTCAGTAAGCCACTTACATTGAGATAGTGTGTGTGTGTGTGTGTGTGTGTGTGTGTGTGTGTGTGTGTGTGTGTGTTAGTTATTAACTTGTGTCTGCATGTGGGGGAATTGCTAGAAGAGACCAGAGGTCGACTTTGGCTAGCTTGCTCTGTTGTTCTCCACCTTACTTTTTGAGGCATTGAGCCTGGAGCTTGCCATTTTGCCAGACTGATGGCTAACAAGCCCCCAGAATCCTCTGCCTCCCCAGAGCTGGGGTGACAGGCACACACTGCCACACTCAGATTTTATGTGGGGATTGGGGATCTCAATTCAGGTCTTCCTGCTTGTGAGCCCCTAGGATGGTGTTCTTTAAGTGAGACATAGGTCTGTCACTTTAGGAGCACAGGGGATAGTTAAGAATTCCTAATGTGGGGGCTGAAGAGATGGCTCAGCAGTTAAGAGCACTGGCTGCTCTTACTAGACGACCCAGGTTCAATTCCCAGCACCCACATGGCAGCTCACAGCTGTCTGTAACTCCAGTTCCAGAGGAGCCACCTTCCTCAAATGGACATAGACGTAGGAAAAACAGAAATGCAGAAAGTAAAAATAAATAAATTATTTGAAAAAAAAAAAGAATTCCTAATATGATCTATGAGTCTGAAAGAACTTTTATGAAGGTGTTTCCAGTACAAATAATCACAGAGTAGAAGACCACATGATGGTATTTTTCATCTCTAACAGTGTGCTATAAAAAGATAGTTCTATAAGCTGTGGGTTCAGTTTAGGGGATTTTGTTAATTATAATAAGTCCCCGTGAGCACAGGGGACTTACATATTTGTCAAAATAAAGAACCACTTAGGAGGGGGCTGGAGAGATGCCTCAGAGGTTAAGAGCACTGGATGCTCTTCCAAAGGTCCTGAGTTCGATTCCCAGCAACCACATGGTGGCTCACTACTATCTATCTATAATGAGATCTGGTGCCCTCTTCTGGCATGCAGGCATACATGCAGGCAGAATATAATAAATAAACATTAAAAAAAATAATAACTTTGGAGCTAGGCCTCTAGGCATGCCTGTAGGGGATTGTCTTGATTGTATTGAGGTGGGAAGACCTGCCCACTGTGGGTGGCACCATTCCCTGGCTGGGATCCTGGACTGTACAGTTGGAGCAGGGGAACTGAGCCAGTGTGCATTCACCTCTCTGCTTCCAGACTGTGGATGAGATGTGACCAGCTGCTTCAAACTCGGATATCCTTGACTTTCCCACAGTACTTTTTTTATTTGTTTGTTTTTTGTTTTTGTTTTTGTTTTGTTTTGTTGTTGTTGTTGTTTTCCAGACAGTGTTTCTCTATGTAGCTCTGGCTGTCCTGGAACTCACTCTGTAGACTTCACAGAACCTCACAGAGATCTGCCTGCCTCTGCCCCTCCCAATGGACTATACTTTAACAGTGAACCAGAATAAAGTTTTTCTCCCTTAAGTTGCTTTGGTCAGGTTTTTTTGGGTCTTTTGTTTTTGTCTGTTTTTTATTCACAGATTTAATTGGCAGGATTTTTTTGTTTTGTTTTTTCGAGACAGGGTTTCTCTGTGTAGCTTTGCATCTGTCCTGGAACTCTCTCTGTAGCCCAGGCTGGCCTTGAACTCACAGAGATCAGCCTGCCTCTGCCTCCCGAGTGCTGGGATTAAAGGCGTGCGCCACCATCGCCAGGCGGCAGGATTTTTTTTTAAATCACAGCAACAGAAAGAAACGAGATAGTAGTCCTTTATCTAGTCTCATGAGTGGCCACTGGTGGTTGAAACAGTGATGACAGCTTTTAGCTAGAGGAGATCCGTGATTGTGCAGCATCATGGTAGTCTTAAGCCAAAGAAAATTAAAGTTTTTCAATAGTTTAATCATTTGAATTAGCACATGCCATCCGTCTCAAGAACCAAGGCCCACGTGCCAAATGGCCACGTTGGAATGTGGAATTGCAGATTTTGCAAACGACTGAACAGGTCGCCTAGTGTTACAGCGCCCCTGTCACTGTGCAGCTAGGCTACTCCCTTTCTCATTCTTAGTCACTGTCCATTGCCTGAAGAGACACCATGACCAAGGCAACTCTTATAACAGAAAACATCTAATGGGGGCTGGCTTACAGTTTTAGAGGGTCAGTCCATTCCTGGCGGGATGCAGGCAAGCATTGGAGCTGGAGCTAAGGGCTACATCCTGATTCGTAGGCAGAGAGGGAAAGACTGGGCTTGGCATGGGTTTTTGAACCCATCTCAAAGCTCATCCCCAGTGACACACTTCCTCCACCAAGGTCACACCTCCTAATCCCAATCCTTTCAAGGAGTGCCACTCCCTGTGACTAAGCATTCAAATATATGAGCCTGTGGGAGCTGTTTTAACTTGAACTTCCACACTCCCTAAGAAAGGATAATCTTCCTGGGTGGTATTCTACTGAGTGCCATGTCTCAGTTGCTGAGATTACAGGCATGAACCATCATACCTGGCCAAGAATCATTTCCATGTGTGTGTATATGTGTGTGTGGGGTCAGAGATCAACACCAAGTATTTCAGTCACTCTTCACTTTCTGTGTTAAGACAGTCTCTCTCTACAGCTAGCACAGTGGAGACCCTGGCAACAAAAGTAGCTAACACAGTTAGTTAATCTTTCATTCTATTGGGCATGATAAGTTTAATTCAGTAGTTATATACATCTCGATTGGCTTTGAAAATTATAAACTTATAAACTCAAGTTCCAGTTGCTTTTGGGATACTATCTTACAAGGACTCCAATGTACAGTATGGCTCG